GCACATCTCTGGGATGCCCCATCTCTTCCCCCCGCCCCCACTGCGTGTGTCTCCTGTGCCCCATTGCAGCACATCTCTGGGATGCCCCATCTCTTTCCCCCCACTGTGTGGCTCCGGGTGCAATGTGTGTGGGTTGTGTCTCTCTCAGGCACTATCACAGCATGGACATCTTTACCCACTATGATCTCCTGACTCCCAATGGCAGCAAGGTGGCCGAGGGCCACAAGGCCAGCTTCTGCCTGGAGGACACGGAGTGCCAGGAAGGTGGTGGGCAGTGCCATGGTGTGTGCTGCCTGGCAGGCTCTGCCTCTGCTCCCCTCTCTCTGGGGCTGCCCTGTGGGGCGGGGGGCTGGGGCTGGAGCAGGAGTGACCTGCCCCCATTCCAGACGTGGCCAAGCGGTACGAGTGCGCCAACTTCGGCGAGCAGGGGATCACCGTGGGCTGCTGGGACCTCTACAGACACGACATCGACTGCCAGTGGATCGACATCACGGACATCCCGCCAGGCAACTACATCCTGCAGGTACGGGCAGGGCTGCTGCGCCGGCGCTGCCTCCGCGTGGGCGCCTCGGCGTGCCAGAGGCTTTCCACGGAAATGCCGAACGTGGCAAACTTGCTTGAGCAAAACCACAAAAACGAAAACAAAAAACGGGAGACCAAAGTTGAGCAAAAAAAAAAAGTCACTGCACTTTTGAATGGCCCCACGCGCCTCACTCCTCAGAGGGAAACACGGAATAGCGGGCGTTTTCTGGGGGGTGTTACCGGACGGGGGCCCCAATACCGAACTGGCCAGGCAAAAACCGGACACCTGGCAATCCTAGGCATGCTGCTTCTAACGAAAACAAAAAACGGGAGACCAAAGTTGAGCAAAAAAAAAAAGTCACTGCACTTTTGAATGGCCCCACGCGCCTCACTCCTCAGAGGGAAACACGGAATAGCGGGCGTTTTCTGGGGGGTGTTACCGGACGGGGGCCCCAATACCGAACTGGCCAGGCAAAAACCGGACACCTGGCAATCCTAGGCATGCTGCTTCT